TCAAAGGTGTTGCTGAAGTATTTAAAAATATGTTCAGTATTTCTGATTTGTATGCACTTCATTATTTATTTTACCAACTGCATAACTGACATTATTCATTTAGCAGACATTTTATTCAAAGTAACACAAACATTTAAGGAGACTACAATGGATATGCATGTATCAAATGTCCTTAACAGATCATGTCATTGGTTAATGACATTGTTATGTTAACTGAACTTACCAACCAGAGAATCTGAGCCAACTAGTAGCATTTGTTGATGCATGTATTATCTGCATGCAATAGTGGCTTCCCATATTTTCATTAGTCTCTGCAGAGAATGTGTACGTTTAATAATATGTTCTAATAATATGTTTTAATAATATTTCATGTGTTACGTTTCACACACATTAGAAAGCAGGAGTGTCCTCATAGGAGTGTTGTATTATAAATATTTTCAATCCCTATTATTAGAAAAGTTTGCCATAGTGAAACTAGAGGAACACAGTCATCATTAATGTAGTGAACTACAGCTATGGTTTGCAGTGAATGGGAGTAATAGAGTATATGCACAGCTAGTGTTTTTCCCCTACCAATAAACTTACAGTGAAAGGTGACTTTTTTTAATTTTATACAGTTCCTTGTACAGCATTTATGTTGTAATGTAATTCAAATATAATCAGTTAAATAGACTTAAACATTCATTTAGTTGTTCAAGTGTAAAACAATAAAAAAAAAAAAGTTCACATACATACACCATCAAGATCAGCAGGCTAGAGCAGAAACTTCATTGAAAATACTGAAGTAAATTTTTTTTTCATATTTTAATGACAAGGTGCGGAAAAATAGAATTTAATTTAGTGGCTCTTATACATTCCCACTTTGCATCGTATATCAATCAGGGTATAAAGATAATTTATTTTTGAAGAAAACAAACATTAAACGTGCAATTTTGTAACAGCATAAAGTTCACCGGAAACACTTTAACTTGGATACTGTAAATAAAAAGTCCATCTGCATATACCCTATTAATGTATTTTATTATTGTTGCTGTAACACATTAATATAATGCATTACTATTTACTGTGTCAACAGCAGAATTTCTGGCTATTAGAAATCTTGTCAGTAAAATTCAAAAATTATGCTAAAAGCTAACAATGTGCTTCATATAAAGTACAGGGTAGGGTTGCACCAGCTGTTCATAAGTTATTCCTTAAACTTAAACTGGCTTATTGACTACTAGCTTAGTTTGTAACTAAATTTGTACTTTAGTTGCAACACATTTTCAAGGCAGAATGTATTATGTCGTAAGCTCTAGGTAAGGTATTGTGTAACTGCATTGTATTACATAATATCCAATATGAAGCTTTCTTGTTATTATAAGGGAAAATGGCTTGAAAATGCTAATTTAATGAACATGTTATCAAAATTAAAAGATTAAACTTTAAACTATTTGAATAGCCTACACATGAAAAAAAAATGAAAAGTTAATGAAGAAATTCTCATTTTAAATTGTGGATAAACCAACGCAAAACTCTTCTTGAACAAAAATGTAACTCATTGTACAAATCTAAAAAAAAAGAGATTTAGCTGGACATTAAAAACAAGGCTGTGAGCAGTGGGAGAAGAAGAAGGTGAAAACTTGTAGTTCTTTATTATCAATCATGACCTCATCTAGCTGCCATATCTTTTTTTATATTTAGTCATTGGTAGAGACTTACATAAATATGTTAGTGTAGGAATGGGTTTAGCCACAGCAAACTGTAGTTCTGCCGAATTACTAAAACGTTATCAGTGTTGATGGTAAAAACCTGTACATTTCAAGTCAAACCATTCCTCTGCAATCTTATTCCAAAAAAACAGAAATAAGGGCAGTATTAATAGGTTAAAATGTGGGAGAGCGTTGATATTATGTAGTTGTATTGTATTGCAATATGGGGCAATTAAATGTTGATGTTAAATCAAAAGTAATTCACAAATACTTGATAATTAAATGATTAAATGATAATAACTTGCTATGGTCACAACTGAATTAGTTGTAGAATAACTGTATAAAATGATAAATATTAAATGATAAAAAAACATATGATAATAATTGTACCCAGCTTAAGTGTAAAATTAAAGTTACCAGAGGTAGAAGCAGAGACAAAGGGAGGGAGAGACTAAGAGAGCAAGTAGAAGATAGACTCCAGAAGAGGAGAGGAGCAGAGCAGGAGAGCGCAGACCAGGAAAAGATAGGTTAGGAAAAGAGCAGACAAGGAAAAAACAGGCCAGGAAAAGACAACGTTTACCAGCTATTTTGTCTCTTTCTTGACCATGTGACCAAACCCCAAATGCTGAGACATTCAAACTGACCAATCAACATGTGACCAGGCCCTGATCTTATCAGTATCTGCCTTTGGAGTCAGTATGGACCATCTTGGGTGAAAGACATGTTTTTGTTCCATATAAACATATGCATATGATAATTTAGACTCTTAAATTAGTGTGTTCTTTAGCATAATACTATATTTGTTTATGCAATGGTGCTACACAAAAATATTTAGTAGTGCCTGTGCTAGCATTCTGTTTTGCCAACAGCAACGTAAAAGAGTGTTATGTAAATGTAGGCCAGCAATGACAAAGCAGTGCACATTTATTTGAGCCGAAAAACCTTTCAAATTTGACAGCTGTTTGTGATGAAACTCTGCTTCATGTCACCAGGTGTGCAAAATTAGCAATTGATAACATTTCCAGTTTTTACAGAAACACATTCAATTTCAGTCACTTCTCCTCTGGATTAAGTGTGGTCACACAGCATTACCGTACAGCATTCAGTTATAGTTTTAGTCTGAATATGCTTGGAAATATGGGTCATTATCCAGAAACATCCTTTATATGCATTTTTCACTAATTAGCATTACCTTTATATGTTTTTTTTTTCTTTCATGGGTGCTGTTATGACATTTGCATTATTATCCCCTGTCTCAGTGTGACTGTTGCTGTATAAATGATTGCTGATAAATGTTTCTACTATAATGATGAAGCTAAAAATGCACAATTTTTGACAGCAGCCTAAATTACTTGCATGTAGATTTATTGTGTTAGTTTGGGAGATTTCATAAAGGATAACAGATATTTCCTAAAAAACCATGCATATGTTTACATGTTCAGCATATGTCATCTGTTTTGCTTTTGTTCTGTGTTGTAGGCTGTGTTTTAGCAGTTGTGTATATGTTTAGCTTACTTGTTAAAAATCCTTGTAATTATTGCTGTTTTATTTGTCTATAGGCATTATTATAGTGGCCTCAAGGTCTGTAGTTTTTTGTAACTTGCCCAACATCAGTAGTTTATATGCTAAGATACTTGCACAAGCTTGACAAAACTGACATCCTACATCCAAAAATTTTATATAAACACCAGCAAAAAGCCTAGTCCAACCGATTGAAAAGATGGCACTTGTGTTTGTTTTGCATCAAATATAATGCCATTCCCGCATTTCTATGTTTTTCTTGTGTGATTATCATTATCATATGTATTGGTTTATAACAGGGATATGGTCAAATGCTTTACGTTTAAAAACAGCTTATGATTGTTTTATATTTTATTAACTATATTAATACAACCCCAAATCATAAAAGTTTGGACAGTATGGAAAACGCAAATAAAAAAGAAAGAAGTTATTTTTAAATTTACTTTGACTTGTATTTTTATTGCAGACAATACAAAAGCACATTATTAAAAAGGTTCCTCGTGATTTTTTTAAATAAACATGTAATCCAATTTTGAGCATTATTAAAACCATCACAGAAGTGCAAGTTACCTTTGCCATGGGCACTGACACAACCTCATGGCATGTCAGACCCTGGTTTTTGGACTGGTTGCTGGTGTAACAGGGTTATAATGATTCTCTCCACTTGCCCACATTAAAAGACTATTGGGAAGGTAAGGGTTAACATTTGTTTATTGTTTTACATGTAGAGTGCCCCCTCTGTTACCTTAAAAAGAAAATTCATTGTGGTGTGTATGAAGAAGAAGCGAGTGCACAAGGGCTGGTTGAATAGATCTGCGCTCATTTTTTTTTTGTTCTTGCTGTTTTCACAGACAATAAATCACTAAAAGATATCAAAGGGAATATTTATTTACACAATGTAGAAGAGACGCAAAAGATATTGGTCTGGATATTTTTTCCCTTGGTTTGGAGCACATGGCATCCATTTCTCCCAAAAATACCTGAAACACTGATTCATCTGACCACAGTACATGTTTCCGTTTTGTGATGGTCCGTCACAGATGCCTCTGAGCTCAGTATAGAACAGTTTGAACTGACATTTGTGGATGTAACTGGAATTGATGTAGTACTTGACAGAGGTTTGCCAAAGTAGTTCTGAGCCCATGTTGTAAGCTCATTCAACTCATAGATGAATAATAATTCTTGATACAGTGTTATTGTTCAGCTTAGGCTTGCACTCTTGTCCTTGACGCACTGAAATTCTTTTAGATTCCTTGTATCTTTTAATTGTTATACACTGAGGAAGGTGAAATATCCAAATGTCTTCCTGTCTTTCTTTGAGGAACATATTTTTTAAACATTTCAATAATTTTGTCACATATTTGTTGGCAAACTGGCAATCCTCAGTCCATCTTTTCTCCTAAAGTATTAGATCTTTCTTTGATGCTGCTTTTGTACCAAATCATAATTACAATCACCTGTTGACATCACCTTTTTCAAATCGCATCATTATTTAACAAATTTGCCTAGCCATTACTAGCCATAAACTGCTCTCGTCTCAACTTTTCTTGAAATATGTTGCAGGTATGAATGGCTGGAAAGGATGTATATTTACAATTGAAATGAAGTTGACCAGACAAATTATAAAATAGTTTGTGTTCATAATAACTGCCTTGAAATACAAGTCAAAGCTAATTTGGAAATCACTTTTTGCTTTTATTTTTGCATTTTTCATACTGTAGCAACTTTTTTTGATTTGGTGTTGCAGATTTTATATTTTATTAACTATATACATATATATATTTACAGGTTGCGTTTCACCTGCAGCCCTACAAAGGCCGGACAGATATCAGTGTGCATGACAACATCAAATACATCATTGACACGTAAGATTCACCTCATCAATACCAAACCTCAATACAACCTGTCCCTTTTCCAACACTAAAGATCAGAGAGTCTCCTGTCTGCTTACCTGAAGGTCTAGCTCTTCCTCATTTTGATAAGCTGGCTTGCTTTGAACTCAGGAGAAGCTGGTGAAATTCAATCCAGTCAGGAGAACAGAAAAAGAGAGTGGTGTTTTAAAAATAGAGGTCTTTTCTGTTATTAATCATTCATGAAACAGAACGTATAACATGACCTGATGCTATTGCAGCTCACCCACTCAGGTTTAGTAGATGGTAACAATGGCTGCAGTCTGTAAAACACTAAAGCATCATAAGTGTCTACTGACTGTAATATTTTGCAGTATTGATTGATTATGAACATATTGCAAATATATTTATCATTGAATTGTTCCTCATTAGCAACAGAAATTATTGTAAAACTGAGATAATCATAGAGTAGATTTACTATAAACAGTCCATGCTATCAGGTAATATGGACAGCTTTACTGGCATGTGATCTGTAATGCTCATGTTCAAAACTAAAATCAACAAAAATCTCTCAGCATACACTTCATTATTACTATTATGTATATAACTTTGGATTTGAAAATCTAATCAGTAAATCTATAAATTAACTTTAAGTTTAAAGAGTTTAACTAATACACTCTGCTATAGTTCATCCTAGTGTCTTTTATTTTATTTATTTATTTTTCTCTCTCTAATGGAACATGGCAGAAAACTACTACTAGAATGTCTTGAGATGATTTAAACATTGCTTAAAAAAGAAATGTTTGCTAAAGTGATTTCTAAACACTTATGTGACCTGAAGTAATTTAGCTGACGAGAAAACTCAGCTGTGCAAACTAATTTTTCATTGTAATGATTCTTTACTATATTCTGATCAATTAATGCAGCTTTGTTCCTTATGTTTGTACTTATTTGATCAATCATGAATAGATAAACAAATATTTTTATAATTATTTCAAATTATAATGCATCCTTAGTGTATGTACACCACCCATCAATTTGGGATCAAAACCATTTTTTATGTTCTGCTCACAGAATCTAATACAGTCTAGCCAGAAAGTATTCATAGCGCTTCAGTTTTTCCAGTTTTTTATGTTCCATTCTAAAATGAATTAAATTAATTTATTTCCTCAAAATTCTACACACAATACCCCATAATGACAATGTGAAAAAAGATTTTTTGAAATTGTTGCAAATTTATTAAAAATAAAAATCTATGAAAAATGAAAAATCACATGTTCATAAGTATTCGCAGCCTTTGCTCAATACTTTGTTGATTCACCTTTGACAGCAATTACAGCCTTAAGTCTTTTTGAATATCAGGCCACAAGCTTAGCACACCTGTGTTTGGGAATTTTTGCCCATTTCTCTTTGCAGTACCTCTCAAGCTCTACAGATTAGATGAGAATCAACGGTGTATAGCCATTTTCAGATTTCCCCAGAGAAATCTGAATTCCCCAGAGGCTCTGGCTGGGCCACTCAAAGACATTCACCGAGTTGTTGTGAAACCACTTCATTGATATTTTGTCAGTGTGCTTTGGGTCATTGCCCTGCTGGAAAATGAACCGTCACCCTAGCCTGAGGTCAAGAGCACTCTGAAGCAGTTTTTCATTCAGTATGTCTCTGTATATTGTTGCATTAATTTTTCCCTCTATCCTAACTAGTCTTCCAAGTCCTGCTTCAGAAAAACATCCCCACAACATGATGCTGCCACCACAATGCTTCACTGAAGGGATGGTATTTGCGTGTTGATGAGCTGTGCCTGGTTTTTTTCCAAACGTATTGCCTTGCATTTACTCCAGAGAGTTCAAATTTAATCTCATCAGACCACAGAATTTGGTTTCTTATGGTCTGAGAATCCTTCAGATGCCTTTTGGCAAATTCCAGGCAGGGAGTGGCTTCCGTCTGGCCACTCTACAATACAGGCCTGATTGATGAATTGCTGCACAGATGGTTGTTCATCTGTAAGGTTCTCCTCTCTTCACAGAAGAATGCTAGAGCTCAGACAGCGTGACCATCAGGTTATTGATTACCTCCCTGACTAAGGCCCTTCTCCCCCGATCACTCAGCTTAGATGGCCGGCCAGCAAGAGTACTGGTGGTTCCAAACATCTTCCACTTATGGATGATGGAGGACACTGTGCTCATTGGAACTTTCAGAGCAGTAGAATTTTTTCTGTAACCTTCCCCAGCCTAGTGCCTCAAGACAATCATGCCTCGGAGGTCTACCGACAATGTTTTTGTCTTCATGCTTGGTTTGTGCTTTGACATGCACTATCAACCCTGGGGCCTTATATAGACATGTGTATACCTTATTAAATCCTGTCCAATCAACTGAATTTACCACAGGTGAACTCCAGTTAAGCTACTGAAACATCTCAAGAATGATCAGTGGAAACCTGAGCTCAATATAGAGCTTCGCTGCAAAGGCTGTGAATACTTATGTTCATGTGATTTTTAATTTAATTTTTAATAATTTTAATTTAAAAAAATAATTATATATATATATATATATATATATAATATTTTTTTTTTTTGAGGAATAAATAAATTTAATAAGGCTGTAACATAAATAAATAGATTTATGTAAATAAGTAAATTTGGAATAAGGCTGTAACATAAAAAATGTGGAAAAAGTAAAGTGCTATGAATACTTTCCCAATGCATTGTATATTACATAACATATTAGTTTTTGATCTACATTCAGTAAGAAAATAGATATTTCGGTATAAATGTTTCAGGGTTTCACACTTTCCACTGTATTATTAGAGTTTTTACATTTATCAAATAAATGCAGTGTTGGTTAATAGAATCTGCTTACACTTTTACAAATCTGACTGATACCTAACATTTGACTGTTAGTGTACATTCTTTACATATGTTTAAAAAATAATTTGAGTGTAAATAAACACATCACTATTGCAATCTTTTTCAGATATGGGACACATGGTGCTTTCTACAGGTTTAAGTCCAGCACTGGGAAGATCCTTCCACTCTTTTATGTATACGACTCATACCTTACCCCACCTGAGACCTGGGCTGAGCTGCTAACCATCAGAGGCTCTCACAGTCTCCGAGGAACTCCTTATGATGGCATCTTCATTGCCCTCATTGTGGAAGAGCGTCACAAGCAAGACATACTGGCTGGCGGTTTTGATGGCATGTACACCTACTTTGCTTCTAATGGCTTTTCCTTTGGATCCTCCCACCAGAACTGGAAAGCAATCAAGGCTTTCTGTGACAAGAACAACTTGTTGTTTGTGCCCAGTGCTGGACCTGGCTATATGGATACCGCTGTCCGGCCATGGAACAACCATAATACACGCAACAGAGTGAATGGACGATATTATGAGACCTCTTTGCAGGCGGCAATGTCAGTAAGGCCTGATATCATCACAATAACTTCTTTTAATGAGTGGCATGAAGGAACTCAGATTGAGAGGGCTGTTCCTAAAAAGACTGTGGCCCGTCTGTATTTGGACTACAAACCCCATCAACCAGACCACTACCTGGAACTCACCAAGAAGTGGGCGGAGCATTTCAGTAAAGAGAAAGAGCAGTGGCTTATGTGATTGGACATCACACCTTCCTACTGTTAACTATGTTTCCTTTCACATTTTAATCTGCCAAATTAAAAAAATAGGTGAAAAAGACAAGATGTGCAGGAAAAAAATATGGTGGAGATTTTTTACACACAGGAACATGTGAGTAACCCATTTATCAGATGAATTCCTTAACGTGCAACAAAAACGCTAACTTCTTACATTATAACTTCTTATAAAATTTGTTGTGATGACTAACCGGTGAAAAAATCCCAGTGCACATCATATAAAATATTGTTTTTCTGAAATGCAAATTTTATTTTCTTGAACACAGGGAATGGAATGGATGCTTTGTTTACAATGTATTTATTTAATATTTAATTTCACTCGTGTTACATTTAAAACTTTGGGTGGAAGCATAAACATTGTTCAGTTATGCATTGAGACTGTTTGCACAACACCTTTTTTCAAAGGCAGCTAATTTACAATCTTATTTTTCTCACTTTTCGCTGTTTTTCTTGCAGAGATTTCAATTCAACTTTACCCAAAAATTTCAATTCTGGGTCCCACTTTGTTGTTATGTGGTCTTAACTAATATGTACCTACACTGAAATTAATAATTTTCTACAATGTACTTATTGTATAAATACATGTTTTTACATTGTACTTATGATTGATTAAATACCTGGATGTAATTAATTTATGTAATTTTTTGTAATGTTGACCATCAGTTACACCTTAAACCTACCCATATAAACCTAACCTGTCCCTAACCTCATCGTATACCACATCAAGAGCACCAGAAATGCATTATGAAAACAGTAGGTACATTGTATTAATATTGATGTAAGTGCATAGTAGTTAAGGTCACCTTATAAGGAGGGACCCAATTCTGTGATCATTTTCTCACCCGCTTGACATTACAAATCTGATTGCAGGTTATTTATTTTGTGGAACGCAAAAGGAGATTTTGGTCAGACTTTACTTTGATGGTCCATTTGTTGAATTAAAGCTCCATTGCAACTAATTCTCATTAGATTATAAGAAGATTGTTAGATTGGAGTTGGGGTTAGGGTTTGTGTTAGTTGACATGCACTTGCAAAGTTTTTATAGTCAGTTAAATGTCTGTTGAAAGAGCAGTATCGACATATATTAAGCTGACAGTCTACTAATACTCAAATGGACCATTAAAATAAAGTGTTGTCGAGATTGTTATTATTATAATAGTTATTTATTCATTTATTTTAAAGGATGGTTTACTTTTTTACCCTACACACTTTATATGTTTAATGAATAAACATTAATTTATGTACAGTACATGTCAAATATGGAGCATCATAACCAGTCCAAGAATCCAAATGGGAATGAGAAAATGACTTCAAACCCTGGATAAATTATCCTGATGGTTCATGTTAGAATGTAAGTGAATGCAAATAAGATTTCAGAGCTGCAAACTTTCAGTGAATATCTTTAAACTCCATGCTAACATTTTGCGTAGCATGAATTATTTATTTATATTTTGATTCCTTTGGCAGCACCTATCCTCGTTCCTTATAATTATATAGATAAGAATAGAATAAAGTTTGCGCAGTTTCTCCTTTTGTATTCCACAGAAAAAAAGAAAAGAAAAGCATATAGTTTTCAGATATAGCTACTCCTTTAACGTTATAGACATTCAATCTGTGAATCTGACCTCTTGCTAGCATTGACAATGCAGCCTCCATATTTTTAAACTGTACCTTACTATTAATGTGGTTTGGATGCAATATAAAATGTTGGTTGTGGAGATGGTTTGTTTGGATATTGGCTGGGTCTGTTTTGTTCTGTAAATGCTAAATATGCATATTGTAATTTACGGTAAATATTAAATGACTAAACAACTTTTTTGTCATAAGGCTGTAATACGGACATTAACAGACTGAACAAAATGGATTTCTGTAAAAAATAAATAGTAAAATAAACATTCTTGTGCAATGTGTGTTTTACTAAGAACATAAGATGTGATTCGGGCAGCGCGGTGGCGCAGTGAGTAGAGTTGTCGCCTCAATAAAAGAAGGTCGTTGGTTCGAGCTTCAACTCAAATCAGTTGACATTTCTGTGTGGAGTTTGTGGGGTTTCCTCTGTGTGCTCTGGTTTCCCCCCCCAAGTCCAAAGACATGTGCTATAAGTGAATTGGGTAAGCTAAATTGTCTGTAGTGTATGTGTTTGAATAAGAGTGTTTCCCCGTAATGGGTTGCAGCTGGAAGGGCATCCGCTCTGTGAAAAAGCATGTGCTGAATAAGATGGCGTTTCATTCGCTGTGGTAACCACTGATTAATAAAGGGACTAAGCTGAGAAGAAAATTAATGAATGAATTAATAAAACGTGATTTTGACCATCTTTTTTGAGGGGCAGTACCATATCAGCATTGTAGAATGTTACAGATGAACTAACGTTTTGTTAAGTTTTGTTGCTTGTTTGAGTTTTGTTAAGCTAGCTTTAATATTGTAGCATGCACAACAATTATAGGACAGTGTTGTCAAGTATAATGAATGATTTTTAGTGTAGCGATCACAACATGAATGCCAGCCCCTCACAAAGCAACATTCAAAGCATAAATGCACTTCAACAGAAGTGTTGCATAACCAATATACAAACTGCACTGCACATAACTCAATCAGCACTGTGCTAAAATTGCCCCAGAGGAAAATACTCACTTTTTTAAAAAGGCTTATGGAAAAAAATAAAGTTAAGCCAGAAATGTTTTATATACTGACATAAAGTGTTTGTTCAAATGTAAATAAAAGCTGAGAATTGTTATTTTTTCCCTAAACTATTAGCTTTCCTGTGATTTTTTTTTTTTTTGTCAAATATTTCCCAAATTATGTTTAACAAAGCAAGAATTTTTTCACAATATTTTCTAAAATATTTTTTTCTTCCTGAGAAAATCTTATTTGTTTTATTTTGGCTATAATAAAAGTAGTTTTAATTTTTTAAGGTCAATATTATTAGCCCCATTAAGCAATTTTTTTTCCGATTGTCTACAGAACAAACCGTCATTATACAACAATTATATTGCCTAATTACCCTAGTTAACCTAGTTAAGCCTTTAAATTGCACTTTGAGCTGAATACTAGTATTTTGCAAAATAAATAAAATATGACGTAAATAAAATATGACGTAGTCATCATGATAGAAATTGGGGATAAAGGGGCCTAATAATTCAGGAGAGCTAATAATTCTGACTTCAAGTATATTCAGTGTTGAATTAAGTTAATTAATTTTCAGGTTGCTTAAACCTTTTAAACCCTTGAATCCTAAACGTAACTCTAATATTAACAGAATGAATAATCAGTAAATGGAACCATTAATGAGAATTATGTAAAACAAAAATACTTTGAAAGCATTATGTATTTATTTATTTTGATGTTAATAACCAGAGGCACTTGTTTGTAGTTCTATAGTTTCTGGCCCATTTGCACTGATCATTCAGGACAGTGGAATGACATGGTTAGTTGACTGCATCCCACATCATTTCTTTCCTGCTCATATAACCAACGTACACCATGCACATAAAAATGTCAAACCTAATCTGATTGTGAGGAGTATTTTTTTCCTCGGGTGACAAGCCTGTTCTCACAGACTTCCATCAACAATTGGAAGTCAGACAACTACAGCTACAAAATCAGGTCAGGAAATATAAAATGGCATTTGACACAAAGAGAGAACACTTATTATGCAAGTGGCTTGAGGTGTTTTGTAATATAGTAAGAACTTAATAAAAGAAGGGGAACAAAAAGACTTTGATGTAAATTATTTGCAGTCAAACATAATATTATTTATATTTGCTGGGTGATTTATAGCTTCGGACTTGACTGTGTGTGTATGTGTGTGTGTGTGTGTGGGTGTATGTATATATATATATATATACATAAAATGTATATATATATATATATATATATATATAATTTGCCCTTGAAATCTTATATCACAATACTGTCCCTTATTAGTGATGGTTAAGTTTCATGTGCAAGAAAGTACATCTCCAGGATAAACTAATATGCACTTAAGTGTTTAAGCTGAAATGATGAACATGATTAAAACCATAATAGATAAACACTTTTATCAGGATTACAATGATTAGAAAATTTGTCAATTTTGTTTATTTCATTTGTAACCCCAACTTAAGCGTTTTGAAAACAAAAATAAGCACAAACACCGGAGAATATCCAATTTCAATATATTGTAAATTCAACAGCTTGGCAGAGTAAAGTCCATGTGTACGTTATAGTGGTGAGGGGGCGTGGCCGAGAGCCGTGGGAACGGAATGAGGCTGCCGCGTAAATGGATGCACCTGTGCTGTGCACCGGCCTCGGATCCCACAGAAGGAGCTCTGGACTGTAAGAGGAGGAACGATGGCAGAGGAAGCCGAGAGAGG